TCAAATTTGACATTGAAAAGCAAACTTTAATTTGTGTATCAGTGAAACCATTTGAATTACGGACAACAAATCCCAAATTTTTATACGAGGTTTAATAACTTCGTTTACATGTAGGCTAAAAGTTAGTCTAGTGTCAAATGTAACCCCTAGATCTTTAATGGAGGCTGGTCGATTTAAAACTTTGCCGTTGACACTATAGTTATAAACAATAGGAAATACTTTGCACCAATCGTCGTTTATGCCATTTAAACAGTGTTGGAGTTTTAAGCAGTCAGAAAAGGTATTTATGGCACAGTAAATTCACATCATCTTCACAATATGCGGATGATGTGAATTTACTATGCCATAAATACCTCGTTGAAGAAACAATTTTTTTCAACGACGATATGCCATCTATTAATAAGAATGAAGGGATTTGCTCCAAGGCCCCCATATATATAGCACCACGAACGCATTGCACCACAACACATTTAATAGACCTTAAAATAATTCTGGCAAGAGAGAAAAATGTACAAAAATCGATATAATTTTTTTTTAATTTTTCCACTTAACTTAGTTTTCACATAAAAATTCATTCATTAAATTCATCCCTGAGATACCGATATTAGCGAGCCACCACATATTAGTAGCGTCGCTATAATATTTGAACATCGATGAATTAATGTCCGCTATTTTATTGTTGAAATGTGCAGGGGTAGGCAGTAGAGTCAATTTTTTTCATTAATAAAATTGTTCTTTTTTAACAATTTGGGTTGAAAATAAGTTTTTCCAATATATTGGAAAAACTTTTGATTTTAGAGAAAAGTATTCACCAGACGAAATATGCGCAATAAAAGGACCTACAAAATACCACCTGATAGATTAAAATCGGATAATTTGTTTAAAAGTTATTGCAAAAAGCATAAAAAAACATGGAAATACAGCTTTTTTCATTATCCATAACTTGGTTGTTATTTGTTGAAATTTTATAAATATGCCTAAAAGTTGTTTTTATTGTTCTTCAAAACGCGAAATATGGGCCCTGTAGGCCCAATAGTTTTTGCAAAATTCTATTTTTTATCCCAAGGGCAAAAACGCATAACTGTATCCTTTTGTCTCTCGTGAAGTTATTAACAAAAAAAGGTTTAGAAAGTCGATTTTTAAACCTAATTTAGCTTTGTATTTAAATGGAATTTTGATTTATTACCAGGGGCCCTTTTTATTTTTACATTAAAAAATAGTCTTGTTTTACCACTTGTTTTTATAAATATTTAGATTCCCTACGCCCTTTTGGAGCCGAGTTAGACTTTTTTTTTTAAAAAATCACAGCGCCTCTATAAAACTCAAAAGAGCCCCTGGTAATAAATCAAAATTCCATTTAAATACAGAGCTAAGTTAGGTTTTAAGCTTTAAAAATCGACTTTCTAAACCCTTTTTGTTAGTAACTTTCGGAGAGAGAAGCTTAAAATTATGCATTTTTGCCCTTGACGGGAAATAATAGAATTGTGCAAAAACTGTTGGGCCCACAGCGCCCATCTTTCACACAGTTTTGAATAACAATAAAACTCACAACTTTTAGGCATATTTATAAAATTCCAACAAATAACAACCAAGTTAAGGATAATTAAAAAAATGCTGTTTTTCCACGTTTTATGTTTTTTTGCAATAACTTTTAAACAATTTATCCGATTTTAATATATCAGGCTGCATTTTGCAAGTCTTTTTCTCTAAAATCAATAGTTTTTCCAATATATAGGAAAAATTTGTTTTTCCACCCAAATTGTTAAAAAAACAATGTTGCTAATGAAAAAAGTTGACACGAGATGAGACACCTTTTCTACTGCCTTCCCCTGCACATTTCAACAATAAAATAGCGGACGTCAATTCATCGGTCTTTCTTAGTCCATTTACTTCTATAGCAACGCGTCTATATTCCTGGGATCAAAGTATCGACTCGATTTTCTCCTATGCAAAAATGCACTGTTGGGGCGCTAGAGATCGTCGAAATTTTTTAAAAATATCATTAATTAGTTATAAAATGATTGTATCATTGTGATTGTACACCATCACGTGCCTTTTTGTGAAAGAAATCGGGAAACATCTTATTAGAAATTGTTTAAAATTAAAAAGTATACATATGTTCAAAATTCTATGGTAATCTATTTTGATTTTGCAGTCCGGTAATTTATCAAAACAGAAAATGTAAAAGTAAGCCGATTTTCTTCAAATTTGGTATATGGTTTATTGTAAATAAATATCTTCTCTCGATAAAATTTTGTGGTACGTTGTATGTAGCACTGACTATAGAGAATTCTTGTTTCTGCTTATAGCAAGGCCTACTTAATTTTTCATACAGCATTTTTCCAAAATATCAAAATATTAACTTACTTTTTCTCTTGTTGATACTAATCTTAATACGTACATATAGAGCCGTACATATTTAATTGACTTAATTAAGGATAAAATCAGGCAACTACTGTATTTCAAATTATTTCTTTGTAAAGGACAGCTGTTACTATATTTTTGCGTAATAGATATGAAACGACTTTTTTCAGTAAATAAATAATGTAAATGTTTTTCCCTTTTTCAACTCCATTAATAGATAAATTTATACCTCCATATTTTTCGCAAGTTCTATATTTTTCAAAGTTTGGTACACCTTGTATAAAATATTTTATTTTTACAACTAACCTTAATAATCTGGATAAATAATTTTTTTAGGATATATTTAAAGCTATTTATATACAGGGTGTAACTAAATAAGTGTAAAACATTTAAGGGGGTGATTCCTCATCGAAAAAAAGATAGGATCTTTCATATAACGAAACTTCATTGGAGCATCCCTTGTTAAGATACAGCCCCTTAAAGGGGGTACATAAAATTTGTTTAACAATTTTTTTCAAAAGCACTAAACAAGTTACAATATTGAAATTAACCTGACATTTTCTACTACCAAAAAGACACTTAGCCAGTAATTTATTTGGTTTACCCCATGGTTGTAAGGGGTGGAAAACGCAACCCCTAAAATTTATTTCCAACGTAATTTTTTGTCTTATTATTTTTTTACCATTTAAAAATTTATTTCCGATAGCCTGTTTCATTCTAAAAAAAAATGTCTCTTGAATTTTTTGCCCAAATTAAACCAGTTCGCAGCAAAAAATTATTTTACGAACAAGATACATATCGCCATAAAACGAAAATACGAAACTAATTTATCTAGTAGGCCGCCATTAGCGATACTGACAATTAAATTGGAATCAAGCTGTCAGTTTGTAAATTTTTGAAATTGAAGTAATACTAATTGTGTATTGTTCTGTTCTTAATTTGTTACTTTAATAATTCACTTGTTATTAAAATGGCATACACAAATGAGGAAATGGCTGATATGCATTACGTTTACGGTCTGTCGCAGGGGAATGGGTTAGAAGCTTCTACAAGATATGCTGAAATGTATCCTCAACGGCAGCATCCTTCACATAGAATATTTGTCTGACTTCATCAACGATTACGTGAATATGGTTCATTCAACAAAAGAACGCAGGATTGTGGTCGCCATCGAGAAGTAAGAACACCACAGCTTGAGGCAGCAGTACTTAATTTGATAGAAGAACAACCTACTACCAGTACTAGAAAGATTGCTTTCCAGCTAAATGTTGATCATATGACGGTATTTCGAATTTTAAAGGAACATCTCTTATACCCTTACCATCTGCAACGAGTACAGGCACTGTTACCGCGAGACTTTCCGAACCGTCTTGAATTTTGCAATTGGATGCTGGAAATGATTAGAAGAAATCGTGACTTTCTGAAGACGATCGAATTCACAGACGAATGTAGTTTTTCTCGGGACAAGATTATTAATTTTCATAATTACCACATATGGGCTGATGAAAACCATCACGCTATTGTCGAAACTAACCATCAAGAACAGTTTTCTCTTAAGGTGTGGGTCGGAGTTATTGGGGATTATTTAATTGGGCCTCATTTTCTACCTCCTCGATTAAATGGTGAGGCATACGTTCAATTTTTAAGAAAAGTGCATCCCCCCGTACTGCTGGAGGAAGTTCCTTTGGGCGTCAGAAGGGATATGGTTTTTATGCATGATGGGGCTCCCGCCCATTTTAGTCAAGTAGCACGTCAGCATTTAACTGAAACATATGCAAATCAGTGGATAGGTCGAGGAGGACCACAGAATTGGCCCGCTCGATCCCCGGATCTCAATCCTCTGGATTTGTCTACTTGGGGCCATTTGCAGCATTTGGTTTATCGTACTCCTGTTCGCGATGTAGAGGACTTAAGAAACCGCATTATCGATGCGTGCAGGGTAATTAGAGAGACTCCAGGAATATTTGAGCGAATACGTGGCTCAATGCGCCGACGTCTAGACGCATGCGTAATGTCTGAAGGTAGACATATTGAACATTTACTATGATTTCTACATGTTGTATGTTTTGTTATTATTAAATTAGTTTTGATTATTCCCCTTTAATCATTTAATGCAGGTAGTAACTACAAAATAACAGTAAATCCAGTCCGCATTTATGACGATGTATCTCTGTAGTTGTTCGTAAAATAATTTTTTGCTGCGAACTGGTTTAATTTGGGCAAAAAATTCAAGAGACATTTTTTTTTAGAATGAAACAGGCTATCGGAAATAAATTTTTAAATGGTAAACAAATAATAAGACAAAAAGTTACGTTGGAAATAAATTTTAGGGGTTGCGTTTTCCACCCCTTACAACCATGGAGTAAACCAAATAAATTACTGGCTAAGTGCCTTTTTGGTAGTAGAAAATGTCAGGTTAATTTCAATATTGCAACTTGTTTAGTGCTTGTGAAAAAGATTGTTAAACAAATTTTATGTACCCCCTTTAAGGGGCTGTATCTTAAAAAGGGATGCTCCACTGAAGTTTCTTTATATGAAAGATCCTATCTTTTTTTCGATGAGGAATCACCCCCTTAAACGTTTTACACTTATTTAGTTACACCCTGTATATTACGCATCTAACACTTTAAAATATAATGCTACTGGACAAATCTCCTTCTGAAATTAACTTGTCGCACAACTACAACCACCCAAAACACTCTAACCAATTAGTTAACGCTCCACTTTTGTTCCAGAAACAAACTCACAGTCTATTGATCCTGGCCTCAGCCCTGTCAATCATCTTAGCCGTGAGACTACAGACGCGGACGCCCCAGTTTTCCACAGCGGACAACCCCACAGCAAGAGAGGCGGAATTCCTCACGAGGTTCCTCACTTTTTCTTATCTGCCCGTGTTCAATTTCTGGCTGCTAATATTTCCCAACACCTTGAGTTTCGACTGGGGGATGGACGCCATCCCACGCATCACAACTATAAGGGATGGCCGCAACGCTTTGTCCTTCGCTTTCTACTTTGGATTAGGACAAACTTTGGTTAGGATTGTGAGGAGCCTGAAGAAGCATAAACCTAAAAAGTTTGATGCGGTTAAGGAAGTGGACAGAAACTTGGCTTGTACAGTGTGCCACCTTAATTTTCACGATGTACATTCCTCATCTTGTCGGAATACGAACAATAATAACGCCACTAACTTCCAATCAACCTCCTGTGTGTGTCTGACAGTCAATCAACGTATTAAGCTTGCTAACAGGACTGACAAAAAGCAAGTGAGTGCAAGCGGAGCGATTCTGCTCTCCGTGGCTTTCCTAGCGCTTCCGTTTCTACCTGCAACGAATATACTCTTTTACGTGGGATTCGTGGTTGCAGAAAGGGTTCTGTATATTTCAAGTGCGGGGTTGTGTTTGCTTTTGGGACTGGCGAGTGCTACGTTTTGGAATAGTTACAGAAAGCACCGGGTGGTCTCCTTGTTTAGTTTGGTGATTGTATTAGTGGCATTCAGTGCGAAAACTGTTTGCAGGAATAGGGACTGGCACGACGAAGAGTCGCTCTATAGGTCGGCGATCCCTGTCAACCCACCGAAAGGTAGGTAATTGATTTGCTTTAGTAGTTATCGTCCCTTAGTTCATTAAAGGCAGCCTTGAAGCTTTAATAGATAGCTTGTATTTCTAGACATCTATGCCACGTTTACTGAAGGTATACATATAAGCATCTATTCAATAATCAAATATTATTTAAAGCCTTGTGGTAAACTCTACGTATACGAGTGTAAGATGATAAAGAACGAGTCGTTCTCAATTCTAATTTTACCACAACGACATCAAATTGCATCCGCTATATTTTTATATGGCTTATTTTCATGGCTGATCGAAAGAAGAATTTTTTTTGGAACATCTAGAATATTCTCTAAGCCTAAAAGATTTATATGGCTAAATGAAAAAATGCTTAAAGCACAACTTCCTAGCTTTTTTTGTTATGGAGATATATGAATTTAAATAACACACCATTATATGTTACTTATTGAAAACAGGAACAAATTCATTTTTAGAATATCCTAAGAGTAGTTTAGAATATTTTAAAATAATAAAAAATACCAGAGGAACATAACATTAGATTAAAAAAATAAATAAATAAATAAAACACTTCTTTCTATCTTTCATTCAATATCAGTAATATTGTGTGAAGTCGAATCTTCGTATCATTTGAGAAACCAGCAACAGTCATTAATAATCTTTATAGAATATCAATTTGTCCTTGTCTGTAATTAACTGCACCTATGTTCTCAGAAAAAATCTCAAATTCCAAAAATATGCCGTTAGGGTTTCGTGATTCATTTAAAAGTTCTAGGTATGAGTATTTTATAGTTATCATCTTTGGTATTCTTTTACCATACTTACAAAACAATTCCAAGTCACTTGTTTTTTTTTGTTTCCTTAGATTTTCTTTGAAGTGTGGCTCATAAACGCGTTTCATTATTTGAGGTCCTGTAAAGACAACTCTTCCAGTTTCGCGTCATTTAGTTGTGGAAAGACTATTTTTAATTACCTACTTAAAACCACCTCTTACTTTATCCACATTTTCACGAAGTCTTTCATAAGTCGACTTTTTGAGGTCGACATGAAGAATGCCTACAGGTATAGCTATTAAGCCAAATTTGGCATGACATATTTTCTTATAAGATACCATTTTTCCTAGAAGTAGAAGTCCCGCAAGCATCCAGTGGCGGAGTTATGGAGACTCATTATAAAAAAAATAATACGGCCCTACTGAAAATGATACTGTTTTTAGATAGAACAGTTTGTTATTGACAAAATGTGTACATTCACTTTTTTTCCTAACTCTTATAGTTTCATGGTAAAATTGATTTTTCGGAAGGGTGCTTCTGGATTCTGTCGATAAACTTTAGGAAGACGTTCCTCATAAAACCAAAAAAAATATAGTACCTATTAAAATTGGTCTTAGTCTCGAGTATGTGTGAGTCAAATAAGCCTTTTTATCTCCCCTTCCCTTGGGTTTAACCAATAGTATTAAAATTATTTAGGAGATGCTTCGTTTTTGAGATATAGGGTGTTTAAAAAAATGATGTTGATGAAAACAATAGAAATATTTAAGTACCTAACATCTAATGTGACTATGTCGTAATGCGACAACGTAACGAGCCTTGTAATACTCCTAAATTTTCTCAGGCGGTTTGTAGTCACTTCATTTACTTGTGTTGTGTACTTTTAAATAAAATAAAATGGCAAACAATACATGAAAATTTATTTGTAAATTGAAACAACCAAAAAATTAACAATTAATATCATACCTATACAAAGCGAAAAGTGAATCAAAAATGAAATGATTTAAAAAATATTTTTTTCAAAATGGGCGCCTCCAGAGTGTAGACGACATCTTCTAATTATGGAGGTAGTGGCCGATCGACACTGAATTGTAGTTAATTCTCGACAGATCTTCAACTGGCACCTCGTAGACTTTTTGTTTAACAGCACCCCAAACGAAATAATCCATCGGTGTCAAGTCCGGTGAACGTGCGGGCCATGCTGCAGGTCCTCCACGACCAATCCATCTCCTGGGATAATTAATGTTTAACCACTCCCTAGGACCTCTACAAAAATGGGCAGGACAACCATGTAGTTGAAACCAACTGTTCATTAGAGTATTAAGCGGAATATCTTCTAACAGATCTTGAAAACCATTTTCAAGTAACTCGGCAAACATGTCAGCATTTAACCGATGCGGAAGGAAGTAGGGACCAACTATAGTGTTGTACAACACACTCAACCACACGTTACATTGGAATTCTTGCTGAAAACTATGTTCCCTTACCGCCCGTGGATTCTCGTAGGACCAAATACGGTTGTTCTTTTGGTTTAAAATTCCCCTTCGAGTAAATGTTGCCTCATCTGTCCACATTACTTTTTGCGTAAACTGATCATCATTCTCTGCTTGGTTTAACATCCAGTCACAAAACACGTGCCTGCATCGTATGTCCTAAGGCAATAAATGTTGCACACGCTGGATATAATACGCTTGGCGTCCATCAGCCCGAAGAGTCCTAGATAGCTAGATCTTCTGACACTCGTGGATGGATTTTCATCGAAATGGTTTAAAATAGTATTCGATCTTACTTCGTCCTGAAGTGGGGCAAAATGTCCATCAGCACAAGTTGGAATACCGAAAGACCCAGTTTATCTGAGACGACTGAATGTCGTTGAAAATGTTTCCTTTGCTGGTAGTCTGCGATGAGGAAATCTTACTGCACATTCACGGTGAGCCGCCGTGGCATTTCCATCACAAAAACCGTATACAAAGACCATATCAGCATATTCATTGTTCGAAAATATGAACGGCATTATTAAACTTATTTTTATTATTAGTTTGAACGCTTTATCTAATGGATAAATTATGCAACAATTCGCAAAATAACATTTAAAACGTCAAATTAACATTGCTTGACAGCAGCCTACTCGAATATTTTTGTTTAGGTTCATTTTAAAGTTTATCTACATAATCCAGAAGCACCCTCCCGAAAAATCAATTTTGCCATGAAACTATAAGAGTTAGGAAAAAAGTGAATGTACATTTTTTGTCAATAACAAACTGTTCTATCTAAAAACAGCATAATTTTTTATTTTCGGTAGGGCCGATTTTTTTTTATAATTTAATGAGTCTGAGTCCCCATAACTCCGCCACTGGTTGCTTGCGGGACTTTTACTTCTATGGAAAAATGGTATCTTATAAGAAAATGTGTCATGCCAAATTTGGCTTAAATAGCCTTCTTCATTTAGAAGTGTTTTAAAATATTCGAATTTTTTTAAAAATCTTTAACGCCCTATATTTCGATTATGACGCGTCTCTGTAAAAAAATTATACTTGATTTTGTTCTTATTTTTTATGAGGAATATCTCCTTGTCATTTCTATCAATCCACCATTTACTTCTATGCACTCCTCAATTCTTTTACATACGTTCGTAATTACTTCTTGTATTTGGTTTGGGGTCATTTTTGCACACGCTTGCATTATCCAAGCACGTAGTTCGTGTACAGGTTATGGCCTTGATCTATAAACTTTTTGTTTCAACAAATCTTAAAGAAAAAAACTCTAATGGCGTCAAGTCCGGAAATCTCGGCGACCACTACACTATATTCTACTCAATTACTTTGAAACCATCATCAGCAGAACTGATTCAGACCGCTATAAGTAGAAAATAATTTATTTTCGGACCCAAGTACTCTGGAGATTTTTGGTCAGTAATACAAAACCAACAGCTTACGATTCCACATTATCATAAAGACCGTGCGGGGACCCCGACACGTTGAAGCCTGACATTTTATATATAAAAATTTGTACATTTCAATTCTTTGAATGTAGAGAATGGAAGAGAATGAAAATTATTTTAAATTTATTTACTTATTCATATTTTTCCAATTCTTATCAACAAAAATACTTACAGTATGTACATCGATATCTTCGTTTCTTTAAAATTTTACATGGTAATATGCCTGAATCTGAATACTGAAAATTTGATTTTATATCGTCATTTACACTCTTGTATTTTAAATGATGTTTCATGGTATACATTTTTGTTTCACTACATTTTTAAGAGAGCAGTGGAACTTGAAAGAATATCTAATTTTGTCGTAATTTTCTGCTATTTACACTTTCCAAATTAAATAATTTGCTTACTTTTCCAGTGATAAAACACCGTAATTTATTTTCAGTTGATACAAAATTAGATCGCAATCGGCAATAAAAAGTTTGTTTACCTTATCCCCTGTTGGAATGCCGGTATTTGTGTTTACATAATATTTTACAGTTCGATGAACCCTGCCCTACATAAAGGCTAATCTATAAAGCCTAAATTAACTTGGAAGGAGAAAAATCCGTAGTAATTGATTAACATTTCCGACTGATGTGGTCTGCGGTCGTTTCTCTTTGACAAAACAGAGGTGAAAACTATGCTATATCGTTCACGAAGACCAACGCAGTATTTCACGGACGATAATCAATAAATCCCATCCCATTGCATTCAAACTTATAACAGCGCTAACCGTAATCCCCAAACAGCCACATGGCGAATAAAAAGTAAACTCTATCAAAACTTTTTTATTAGATGTCGTGGATAATTGCTGAAATGTAGCTCCTTATTTTATAAGGAAAGCTTTGCACGCTTAGAATAGTGCGCAAGTTGCTAAATAAAACAGGTAACAAAAGAAAGGTATCTCTTAAAGTTTTCAGTCCACAGAATGCGGGTAGTAAAATTGCCATTAATATATTATAGTAATATAAATTGGATAATCATGTAATAAAATACAAAGTAAAAGTTCCATTTAATAAAGAATAAACTGAAGTCGTAACAGCAATAATTAATTGTTTAAATATATTTTCTAGGAGCACCCGTTATTATTTTTTATAAAAATGTATAAAAGCAAATCCCAATGGACAGAATAATACGAGCATTTGTTTTATTGCCCTATTTCAATGATGATATTTTCTATAAATTATTTACATTTTCAGAACTAGGGGAAGGCACCTAAGAGGAAATACAACTGTTTGTTCTCTATAAATAAATAATTACAAG